CTGTTTTTAATTTAGTTAAGATTTGGAAGAGGTATGTAGATGACGTATTTAGCGTGGTCAGGGGTGGTCAATAGGAAGAAGATCAACTCCTTAATCATCTAAACTCCAATCACCCGAATATTCGGTTTACATACGAAATGGAAGTGGAAAGATCGTTGCCTTTTTCAGATGTTCGATTAATTGCGAGATCTGATGGGTAACACACTTTGTATACCGAATACCAACGCACACGGATAGATACCTAAACGCAAATTCTCACCATCACCCCCGTCACCTGCAATCTGTAATAAATTACCACCTCTGTGACCCTGAGCATTTAGAGCAGGTGTAACAGCATGTTCAGGAGGTTCTACATGGAAAAGGATACCAGGTGATGGGACGACAAAAGTAGCCAGTGAAGAGGTACAGGCATCCTATGGTGAGTAGACAGCCAGCCTATATGCTTTATATAAAAGGAGTGACGGAGAAGATAGGCCATGTATTACGTGAGTACTCCATTCCGACAGTTTTTACTCCAAGTATGAGAGTGAGTGACATCGTAGGCACTCCCAAGGATGTTCTGCCTTTGTCAACGCCGGGGGTTACTAAACCTACTGGAAAGGGACACAAATCACTTGATCGAGTTTTACCGTACGCAAATCCTTTCCACGGATCGCTACTTTTATTCAAGAGTAGTGCGTGAAGCGATTGTAATTAAGAAAAACTATATAACTTCAATCGAGAAGACGGATATAAATTGTAACAATCGTGGAATCCAGTATTTGCTAAAACGCAACTTCTTTTTTCGCAATCGCTAATTCTCCAGAATACGGCTCGTGTACTAAATAGCGACATCGTTAGAGTTTTTTGTGACGGTAGTTGGATGAAAAATCTGAGGGAGGAAAGAGATTCATTCTCGAATGCAGAGGCGTAGACTTGCTGCTCCAGTCGAGTCTGGAGACCAAGACCGGTCCAACCCGGCTGAAATAAGCAGGTTAGTCTAATCGTGTCTTATACCCGGTATTATAAGTTTCTTCCATGTTGTTAGTGTTTGAATATCTCTATAATGTAAGAGTTTCGAAACTTCCTAAGTAAATAACGTTCTAACTTAAACATCCTTACGATTTAAAAACTATATAAAGAGTTCATTATTTACTAAACACTAAATATAAGTTTAATCTTGCTGAAATCTTCTGGTGGATAAAATCATACACATTTTTCTTTTATGAAAATAATATTTCTACTTCCAATTAATAAGAGTAACAGCTGTAAACGTTTACAACATAGTTCAAATAATACATTTTCAATATCACACAATAAAAATTATGGCGTATAGTATGTACCTAAAGAAATATATTAAAATATTATGACGTCACCCCGTAAGTTCAAAATGCTCGCTCAGTGTCAAAACTCTCACTGTGAGAAAAACATATATTTTGTCGCATTTGAAAATTCAAGTTTGCGCGTTTAAAGTCTCTAGGAATTACAAACAAAGAATAGAATCAATTAAAAATATTACGTACCATCGGTAGGTAAACTTTAAATGTCCAGCTAGATATAGACGCTTTGTTTACGACGTTGCTAATTCTTGAATTAAAATCTCCCACCATAGCGTAAGTTGATTTCAAATTGAGTTTAGTCACGATTCAAAATACTAGTATTATAAAAATGTTTTATAATTTTGCTTTGATTTATTATTATTTTTATATTTTGTGGTAAAGAATTAATTCTCAATAAAAGTGTGATAAGTTTACTTATAGGAAGCCTTGGTAAAGTACTTTTAACTTTATCTATAGATGTCCTAATTTGTATGGAGTACCATGGAGTACCAAACAAACCAAATACCAACTGTTTGAAGAATTGTCGTAAATCACTAACACTCTATAGAATATTTTAGTTAATTAATAATAATTAAAAAATAGACAACATCACACATATTGCTCAAATTCTAAGACAAGTAGCCTTCGTATTATGGAGTATGTGAAACAAGTGCCACAGTGTACCAAAGTACAAACAGGTGGCAATAATCTTTTAAAACCTTAACCAAAACATTCGTTTTGTTACATACACGCTAATCAATATAATTATTTTTTTACTATTGTAAATAAATTACTTTGGCAGTGACATATTCTACGTAAATATCTTTACGGGTAGTATTGTAGATATATTGAAATAATAATTGGACGATTCAAAAGTGCTTCCAATAAGCTTATTTGAAGAAGGAATATTTTTATTAATTCATTAGTTTAATGTTGATGACGTCATAGTTGGATAAAATTGTTTGATTGTAGATAAACTTCATTAAAATAATCTGGGAATAAAACGTTAAAAATAAATAACATTTCTCAAAAAATCTGTATTACTATTTTCATTTACTTAAATTATTGCTCCATTAAAAAACATTTTTTGTAGTCAGACTCACAAATGCATGCAGTATATAGTCAAAGCTTCGTTGCTTCGAACATGTAGGAAGAACGACGTAGATGGAAATAAACTAAAATTAGTTTCGTGAAACTTATATCATACATGGTGAAATAAGTTGCACAAAACTAATTTCAGTATATTTAAAACTAATTTATGGCGTGTAATCAAGAGTATCTCTGGATTTGTTAGCATAAGCTTTACTATGCGTTTGTGATATCGCGACACTAATTACGCTATATAAATCATGTTGAAATTAGTTATGTGAAACTACGTTCATCAATAATTTGCATTGTGAAAATGGACATTTACACAAGAAACTGCTAGTGAATGAAAATGCAGTTTAAACTAATTTCACGCAACTAGTTTCATAATGTAAATTGGGTTGTACAAGGCACGCGCAACGTGAAAGTATAACGATTTAGAAGTCGGGAGAAGCAAGACACCTTCCACGATCAAATTGATCGTGATGGTGAGTTTTCCTTGGAGTTGACCGTGGCTTATGGTGCTCAGTCTGTGCTGCTTACAACAAACGGAATTCAGTATCAAGACAGAGAGATAATTTCTTTTTTTTAACACGTTAACAAATAACTCTCGTACATGTTAAAAAGAAAATGATTCAAATTGAGCTTGAGTGTAAGTGTATTATTTCGATAAATATTATTATTATGTAAAAAAATTTGAAACTCAACAATTATTGATAATTATTACTTAATATTATTAATAAAGCTTTATAATATTTGTTGTTTCAGACACTCCATAATATCATTTAGCTACTCATCTTGGAATATGAGTAATTTATGTCATGTAGAAAGATAGTATTGATATGAGTGGTTATATAAAATTGATTGTGTTCAACACCCCATATTATCCCTTATTGGGGAGTTTGGCATTCCTCTAGAAGATTCGCTGCCAATTCAAAGGCAGATGCTTTATTAATATTGAGTCATTGCCAATAGCCGCACGTAGCCTAAATGACATATTTATGATCTTATCTAAAGGCCATTTTACGCTGGATGAAGATCGTTCCGCGAGGTTTTAATATTTTTCGTCTATAAACATTTCAATTAGCGTAACTTATACAGCTAGTTTATGCTAAACTATAAAAACAAAAATCTATTTAACAATAGAGAAAAAATAAATTAATGTGTTTGATAAGTAACTTAATGATCAATATTCTAACATGATAAATTATTTATAAGAAAAATAAAAAACACTGTAACACAGCCAATGAAAAAAAGAGTAAATATTAGGGTCATTCCATGGCGACGGTTGGGACATTTTTACTTTTTTTCTTATGTAGAACTATTTTCGTAGTTGCAAAACACAATAAATATGACAGTGATTTAAAGTTTAATAAATTTGCTTTAATACCTGAATTTCACATGTATAGAGTACGACTGTTTTAATTGAAAAAAAAAGTACCGTACCTTAATATTCGGATTGTCTTTTTAAAAAGCTGATACGTCTCTGCCACTGACGTAAGTATCTTTGCAATATGGGTTCGATTTCCAGTACCAGTGTCTTTAATTGAAAAAGTGTCTTTTCTTCCAGGAGCACCCTGGCTGATTTAATCTAGTTGATAGAAATTACGTACTACTTCTTCGTATTGCTTTAAATAATCTCTTATTTTTACAAGAGCCCGTTGAAGAAACAACGCTTTAATCAATAACAACAGTTTTAACTAATTTCAGTTTATTCCCGTATCTTTGTTTTCTAAGACATTCTTTTTTCCTACACAAAGACATCGTTTCTGGGTCTTGATTTTTCTTAGCTTCTTATCTGCTTTTTCTTTTATCTGGGTCTTCTTTTTATCTGGCCCCGAACAAATGTTTTCGCTCTACTGCGCCCACAGGTATCTAAAATAACACCACTTCATGCCATGCAATATTATATTAAAAATCAATAACCCCAGCAAAAAAATCAAATGATATTTTAATAATACCCACATTTAACCGATAATTGCACAAAGAAGACCAAAATAATTTGTTATTTAGAATCTCGATGGTATGGGCCTGTGATGGTCGGGACATATCTGAATATAGCCCTACAGCGTTTAGTTACTTTAAATTAATATGAAGACTTTATTTCTAACTTTTTGTAACTCACTTAACACACATTTTCTAATAAACATGCATTTTTGAAGTTAAAATTAACAAAATTTAATAAACATGTAACGGTCGGAATCGGTCATTTTCAAATATTGCTTAATATTATTGAAAGTAACTTACCGTTTTGTTTCATATTTTGTGCAGTAAATCTTTATTAATGTTAGAATTTACTTACATTGACAACAAGCCGATCCACAAACAAAATGGCTATAATATTTACTTTATAAATCAAAAACAATCACTCTATAAGTACATTGATCTTGACTACATCCGGTGTTACCATTGAGTAAAAAGAGAAAAATTGCAATATTTCATGAAAAAAAAGCCTGTTTCGTAAAGTTAAGATTATAAAACGGTTATTCTCAATACACGTGGAAACTTAATTTTGACTTATATTTTATTCGTATGTGGTGTCACTTACCGTGGAATGACCCATAACCTACCTATCTAATTTACAATCACGACGTTAATGTAAATGAAATATTAGGTATGTATAATTTGATATGATTGGGTGTGATGATTTTACTTATAGGTGTTTGCGTCTGTGAAAAGCGAACTTTTCTCGCGCGTTGAGTCTCAGGGAATGGAGTAGCTTTAGTCTACGGTTCCGATAATCTTCACCTTGTTTTAGACGTATCACTAGAAAAGTATATACTCAACGAACTGATGTCACCCAAATCTCCATCGGATGGACACAAAGAATTGATTTCGCGTGATACATCAGACGAGGTAGTGCTGGACGTTCCGCTGCCTTCTGACCCGCGTAAAGAGTGGAGCTTACAAATTGATTTCTGCGGTGGAGGGTAGTCGGAAGAGTTTCTAACCACTTCGTTCTTTGATCTGGCTCTCGGCGTGTTGTTTACGGATTCAGGCGACTGTTCTGGCACCACCGTCGGTTTCGACCACTCCTCGTAAAGGTCTGGCCTTGGTCCGACCTCCTTCTCAGGGCACATGCGACAGTTCTCCATGATCCATTTCTTCTCGCGAACGGAAGGCGATCTGTGGTGTGGTGTAAAGAGTAAGGTTATTGTTGAATGAGAGGCATATAACATGCGTATTCACGCAGTGTTTCCTTTAAAATAGTTATATTCACATCCGCCATTATTACTTAAATACACAAGGTGGATGTATAATATGTTTCTGTATTATTACTATGTGATAGCTTTTTTTTTATACCGAGGGGAACTGACCTTAACATGCCATTGACCTGGACGAAAGACCGACTGAACCCGGGCTCTCCCACTGCAAGGGACGGCGGTCCAGTGCAGTGGGCCTACCGTGCAAAACCCCCTGTACCACCCTCGCGCATAGTCCGGGTCCTGGTATCTTAAAATAAGTCCCAGGTTGATCCGGACCGATTTTGTGATAGCTACGTGATAGATTTCGATAAATAAACTAATTGCGGTCATATTGTTGGAAGGAAAAGAAAAAATGTGCGATTTACATATCTGTGTATTCAGAATGTGGTGTCGTAAACCATACATAAAGCTCGCATTCGGTGTTCCTCGTTAGTTTTACTTTAAAACAAGTAAAAATCGACGAGCGGATCGAAACTTACACCTCAAAGGATTACGTTAAGTCAGCTTGATAGCATTAAATAAATGTAAGTTTTTGCGCATATACATATGTAACTAACATATAAATATATACACAAAATTTCGCAAACGCGACAGGCAGACGAATCGATACTATAAATTGTGCAATATCAACGGAATCACTTTTGAATGATACACTGATAGCCTTATTTTTAAGTATGTGATAAATATTACTTAATTGAACATAATGTAGACATTTTCTTGTAATATAATATAAGCTAATTATTTATTTTAACTTCGTGCACGTCGGTCGATGATACTGTGTGTACACTAGCCTGCAATACTGGAGTCTTAAACTAAGTTATAATTAAAAATCTGCTGATAAAATAGTCATTTTATTGAATATTTACTTTATTGAATAGCTATTACGTCATTTTGCTTGACTACCTACTGCGCTTATTCTGGATATTCAGATGAAGATTTTTATTAGGGTTTAAAATAGCTTCATGCTTTACTTGTGCAAGATTTTACGCCTGAACCTCATAACAACTCGACGGTCAGCTTGTTCTTGCTTTTTCAATTCAGTATTTTCAGGGATTAATGTGCGTGATGCCAAATTAAATTTTGCCAACGGTTATTCTGCCATCTCTTCAATTTGTAGGCATCTAACTAATCTAGTTTAGTCCCCTCAGTATTTTTTCGCACAATTTATTATTTAATTCTGATACTTTGAATTTAAGTTGCCGTTTTAGGTAAAACTTATTCATAACATTAGTAGCTCATTTAAAGTATGTTATAATTTTTAGTAATTTATGATTATCGGCAGTTTAGTACATTTTAATGCAAACATAATTACACAATATTATATTTAGAAAAGAAAATTAAAGAGATACTTTAATACTTAAACGAATGAGTATTAAAGTATCTCTTTAATTTTCTTTTCGTCTGATGAATTATTCTCCATTAAAACATATTGTTTTTAAAAACCGGGCAAGCGCAAGTCAGAATCGTGCACGAACTATCCCGTATTATTATAAAAAACGCAAAAAACACTTTTTGTTGTTTTGACAGTAGTTCGAAATTTTCGAGTTAAATACATTTGACCGATTATTACTCGTAAACTCGTAACGTTAACTTTAGTGCAATAGTTGTCCTATTAAATTCGTTATTTGTCAAAACTACTTTCGTGACGTTTGAATTTCTAACAACAAACGTTTAGTTGTTAGAGGAGGGGGGACATTGACTCTAATGAAAATTGGTACTTTGAAGCTTAATAAGTCACAAACAGTTAGCTAAATCGAAAAACGATCTTCCTATACCCCTAAGAAAGACCTATCAAACGATACCCCACGCAAGGAAAAAAATAAATATCAACGGAATAGTAGCGGAGGTAACCAAAGATATTCAAAATTTTATTTTACCACTTTCTACACCTGTCTAATACCAATCGTTTCTGAGCTAAACTGTGGATCAACGGATAGACGGACATGACGAAACTGTAAGGTAAACCTAGAACTGTAAGGAAACCTAGTTGACTACGGAACCCTAAAAACCAGAAACTTGAAAATGAAAACGATTTTATTTGATAAAAATCAGAAAAACAATGAAGACATCAAACATTTAAAAAGTTTTAAAAGTACGTCATCTGGTGATCCGCAGCGTCAGCAATATTTAAAATTTATTTTTCCCCAATTACTTTATGTTATTGGAGAAACAGCAAAATTGAAAACAAGTGTGACTTTTTTTTTATAAAATCGGAAATAAATTAAGTCTAGAAACACAACAAAAATCATAATTCTTTTTAAAAATACAGTATCGTCATAAGTGGTCAGTAGCATCAACTAAATGTAACATTTTCGTGTACATACATCACTACATAGTATAAAAGAAAGTCGCTTTCTCTGTTCCTATATCCCCCTATGTATGCTTAAATCTTTAAAACTACGCAACAGATTTTGATGCGGTTTTTTTCATAGATAGGGTGATTCAAAAGTAAGGTTTTCATGTATAATACAAGACCACGCGAGCGAAGCCGCTGGCGGAAAGCTAGTAATCAATATAACATATACATTTAATATTAGCGACAACGATTGTACTGATTTGGATTATTCAAAACATTATTAAATCCCGCGTCAACAGCTTAAATCATTCAATAATGGATTTGGAAAAAGATGACTTGGGATATAATTACAATGACAGATTGAATTATAAACAATGATTGCTATGGTCGCGATTTAATAAAATGCCTTGTACGAACTTCCACTCCTATTCTTATCCCTTTACGTGCTTTTTTCGGGATAAGATAGCTTAGATAGATAAGTTGCCGCGGACATTTTAGAGTTTTCAAATAGGATCGATCGTAATATATGATTTTTGCGTAACTTTAAGCAGCGCACGCAAGGAAAGCTCTCAAAAAGTTAAATATTCTCCCGTCTTTCCAACATTTTGCATTACTCAGGAGGGGAGCTCTCTTATTAGTCATAGCGTGATGATAAATAGCTTATAGCCGTCCTCGATAAATGGACTATTACACACAACAAAAAATAAATTCGAACCAGTTGTTCCTAAGATTATAGAGCTCGATCAATCATACAAACAAACAAACTCTTCAGCTTTATTATTAGTATAGATTTTTATATATTATGTCTGAATATGTTGTTTTTTCTTTTAAAATTATTGTACTGTTTGAGCCTATCCTCATTACGCTTTACCTACTCAAGTTAATAGGTACACATTTCCTAATTACAGTGAACACGTAACAAATTAAAGTTTTTTTCTCGCTGTTTTCCATACGAAAGACACTCATATTCCTCTTCGGCAATTGGACGGCACCTTTAAATATTTATACCATAAAAATGAAAATGTAATACAGCTAAGAAACTTTTTAAGTATAAAGACATGTACTTATTTTACTTATTACTAATATCATAAAGGCGAAAGTTTGTTACTTTCACGCAAAAACTACTGATCGGATTTTGATGATACTTGGTGTAAGAACAATTCGAAGCCTATTGACATATAGGCTATTTTTGATCCCACTGAATGATTCCCTACGGATGAAGTGAACTTACCATCAATTCATTATTTATTATGTAAACTACGCGAAGCGAAGCCGCTGATTGAGAGCTAGGAATTAATAATGAGGTCTTCCCCATAGTATGGTGCATTCTTGGATAAGCCTTCAAAAACATTGGGGGTGTGGGAAGGCCGTTTCTCGATTTAGTGAACAGTTTGTGACTTATTAAGCTATAAAGAGTTAATTTTTGTTATGGTCAAGTGGCCACCCCCCTTCTATACCAACTTAAAAGGTCGTTGGTGAAAATTCGAACGTAACGACAGTAGTAAAATTCAAACACAGACTCGTGTTGGCTTTACAAGTTTAGGAGTAATAGTCGACCAATTGTATTTAACTCGAAAATTTCGAACAACTCCATAGAAAGCAATAAACGTGTTTTTTTTTGTTTGCTAATGGATAATAAGTGTGGAACTGCAATTGGCCGGTTTTTATTATTCCATAGTTAAAAATATCTATGATAAAATTTAAAGCAACCTACTGGTATTCAGTTTATTATGATCTCGTGTAACGGCAAACGCAGCAATCAGAATGTCAATTAACACAGCAATTACGGAGTTTCGTCGATTCACTAATTAAATTCACGCCGTCGACTCGAACCTATACGTCTTCAACCTTTTTGTTTCGGCAGTGGTTGGTTTATAATTAAACTTTGCAAAAGTGTAAAGTAAATCGTAGGATAAATACCGATTTGAAAACTAATCGCTACCTGTAGGTATTTAGTTATTTTACCGAAAAAAATTTATAAGAAAAACTTTAAGGACTTATACAGTCACATTGTAGAGTTTTAAAAACAATGTTATGAAAATCATGAAGTTGAAAAAAGAAGATAATCTATTTTATTCAACTGTCCATGGGCAGCGGGTGTGAGACCTTCCAGACACACTCACGGGCATACCCACCGAAACCCCCTTTTTTGATAATGTAGGGGAAATGCACCTAGCCTTAAACCGGGGCTTCCAGCCCAAAAATCACAGGCTTAATCAGCCTACCCACAAAAAGCCATATTCGAGTCGCCAGGATAGTCAGCCCCCACGATAAACGTACCTGAGTATCGCTGTTAGGTCGTCTGCTTTGTAGACCACCTTCGTCTTAGGATCGTAGAAGCCATCCCCAGTGTCGTAGAATCCTGGCGGTATATCCCGGGTAGGCTGCTCGGCAGTCAGGAACGACTGGCCGGCCGGTTGAAGACCTTTCTCGTACTCGATTGTAAACCTTAAAAATAAATGGCATAAGTATGATTGTTGTAAACGTAAAAGAACATAATGTTTATATAATCTCAACGACTTGCGTTTTACCATTACAATATCTACCTCATACATCAATGGTGATAGATACATAATAATATTGAATTTCAGGTAGATAGTACAATAACGTTTATTGCTGTACTGTTATGTTAATTTTGTAAATGTTATGAATCCTAGTGACTTAATTTATTAATAGCCCCTTATGGGTATAAGGTTTGAAATAATTAGAAAACTTAGCATAGATGGCTAATGCAGTATTATCGCCTAACCTTTTTCACACTACACAGGCAACTAACAGTGTACGTTCAACATAATTTTCATACTATTTCCAAAACGGGACATTTTTGAGTCACAGGCTTACCTTCGGGGACATCGGGACAGACAACCAAAGAATGTTACGTTCTGATCACGTTATACATGACTCTAGTTTCATAATCTATACTAATATTAAAAAGAGAAAGACTTGATTTATTGTTTGTTTGTTTACATCTAATAGACTCTTAGCTACTGGACATCTTTAAAAAATTCTTTCACCTTCGGAAAGCTACATCATTTAATGGTGACATAGCCTACAATTTACGCGAACGAAATCGCGGGAAAGCAACCAGTATATAATAAATTTGGCTTAAGCTACTATGTAGGAAGAAATGTAATGTAGGAAAAATGTTTTTGATGAGGGCTATTTGCTACGTAACTGACGAGGAAAAACGGTGATTAGTGAGACAGTAAAAAATGAGACAAACTGTTTCGGGTGCGCACCCATTCATACCTGCCCATTTCTGTGAGCCGACCCAATAAAGAGTAATTTTTTAAAGGTGTTTACTCAGCAAATTGAGGTAACGACGACAGAAAATCTGCATGACTGCTCGCGTCAGAGTGTTCAAGCTTTTGAGATATAGAAAGTAATTTTGTATATTTAAAGAAATATCATTAATAGTCAGTATTATTAAAAATGATATAGGTATAGCTCTATTTTCAACTTTATTATGTAATTACTTCAGTTTATTTCATGTCAATATTTTATATAAGACATACATTGTCTTATGTAAAATACTAATACGTTTCTCAATACTAATACGTTTCTCAAGAATAACTATTTCTCTTTTGAGTTACCGAGAAGTATTTTAACACATAAAAGATATTTTTATTTTAGTCCATAGGTTCCTTTTATTAAACTCACAATGACATAGATTTTAATTTAGTTATAATAGACAAAACATTTATAATCGTAATAAGGTTTTATTACAACCTTCAACACCCCCTCTTAAGAAAACCTTATAGCCTCTAAACATTAAATTAACAAAATAAACATTTCTTTCTAATAGACAATAAAATGAACTAATATATACCTATAATAACCGACACCTCGTTCAAAAACAACTATTCAAAATTTTGTAATCCTAACAATTTTCGAAATTTTTCAAACAAAGTTTTATCAAGAGATTTTGTAAGAATATCTGCTAATTGTTCTTTCGTATTAACATATTTCAAAATAACAGCCTTTTTAGCTACTTGATCTCGAACAAAATTATGCTTGATATCTATATGCTTTAAACGCTTTGAGTCAAGGCATTCAGCGATTTTTATTGACCCTTGATTATCTTCATACAAAATAACACTAGGTACCTTTTCGAACAGCAATGTATCATTTAACAGTTTAGTTAACCACGCAGCCTCAGTACATGCCTGACTAAGTGCAATGTACTCTGCTTCAGTAGATGACAAGACTACACATTGTTGCTTTTTAGAGATCCAAGACACAATACAATTAAAGATTTTAAAAACATATCCAGTTGTCGATTTTCTATCTTGTAAATCTCCTGCTCAGTCCGAATCTACGTAACCTTCAATAATAGCTTCATTATCATTTTTAACAAAAACTAAACCTAAATCTATAGTTCCTTTAAGATATCGTAAGACCCTTTTGATAGCAATCCATAATTCTTCAGTAGCACATGACTGGTAACGACTTAATATTGAAATACTATTTGCTAAATCTGGTCTTGTTGCTAACATACAATACATAATAGCACCAATAGCTTTTCTACACTTTAGCTCAATGGTTTCATTTTCAGAATTATTTAGTTTTACTAAACTGTTCTTAACATTTTGGTCCATCGGTGTGGACACAGCCCTACAATCATACATGTCGAAACTTTTAAGCATCGTTGCTATATACTCAGATTGGTTTAGAGTAGTACATCCAACATTTTGAATTAAATTTATACCCAAATAGCATTTGGCTATTCCTAAATCTTTCACCTTAAAGCTTTTCTTTATGAAATTTTTAACTTTCAGTAGCTCCTTTTCATCTGTAGACATTATAAGAAAATCATCAACATAAACTAAAAAATAAGTTTTAGTTGTAGAACTTACTTTAACATAAAAACAATAATCATTTTGACTAGCGACAAAACCATATTTGCATAACGTTTCGTCTAATGTATCGTACCAATATTTAGGAGATTTTTTTAAACCGTACAGAGCCCGATTTAGCTTGCATACTTCATTTGGACCTACATTAAAATTTTTAGGTACACTTACATAAACAATTTCATTTATCTTTCCATTAAGAAACGCAGTGCACACATCCATTTGATGGATGAGAATACCCAGTTGGATGCTAACAGCAACAAACATTCTAAATGTGGTGAGTTGTGCAACAGGTGAATAAACCTCTGATGGCGAAAGGAAAACTGCTTGTTTAAAACCACGGGCTACTAACCTTGCTTTATACAATTCACTTCCATCTTCTCCTTTCTTAATTTTATAAAGCCATTTTGTGTCGATTGGCTTACAGCCATCTGGTTTTTCGACAACAGTCCAAGTTTCATTTTCTGCAAGAGACTCAATCTCTTTTTTCATTGCGCTAATCCATTTATCAGCTTTGCTGCTGTTTATAGCCTCTTCATACGATTGCGGTTCATAGACGTCCGCAAAATGTAAGACACTATACATTTCATACTCACCATATCGCTCGGGTTGGTGAATATTGTTTCTGTCTCTCAGAACCATTTTTTCTGCTTGTAAATCTTCATTGTTATTTATTTCGATCGTTTCTTCTTGATTGCTATTTTCACTATGGTTTTCTTTTTCTTCCTCATTTTCTGAACTATCTTCGTTAAAATTACAATCTCTAGTTTTTCGTGACGTACTCGGTTGATCTATTATTTTTTTATTTGTTAAAAACAATACGTCTCTTGATACAACAACGTCATCCATTTCTGATACATAGATGCGATACCCTTTTGTGTTTTCTTCATACCCAACAAAAATACCAATTTGGTTTTTCTGATCCCATTTTTGACGAATTTCACTAGGAATATGATATGAAACGCGATCACCGAATACCTGAAAAATGTTAAAATCGATAGATCTATTTGTCCATAGTTCATATGGGGTTTTTTTCTCTACGGAACTTGTGCCAGTTCTATTTAATACATAAACAGCTGTATTTACAGCTTCCGCCCAAAATCTTTTACACATTGACTTAGCTTTCAGCATAGTTCTAGCGGCTTCTACAATAGTACGCATATCCCGTTCAGCTCTCCCATTTTGTTGAGGCGTGTATCTTACTGACCTTTGATGTATAATACCATGATAATTTAAAATGTGTCTTACCTCGTTGTTAACAAATTCCAAACCATTATCCGTCCTTAAAATTTTGACTTTATGTCCAGTTTGATTTTCTGCTAATTTGATGTAATTTTCTATGCACTTTTTGACTTCAAATTTATTCTTGATAAAATATATTTTTCTATAATTACTAAAATCATCTTTCATCAAAAGAAAATATTTTGAATTACCTATTGATGTAACTTCCATTGGTCCGCAAAGATCTGCGTGTATTAGTTCGCAGGGTAATTTCACACGACTTTCACTACGCTTAAAAAGATCCCTATGTTGTTTACCAGCACAACAACTCTCACAAATAGAATTTGAAATATTTTTGTAAGTTATACCGTGCTCTGTCAGAATATTTTTGATTTGTGTCAAATTTTGATGTGCAAGTCTTTCATGCCAGTCATTCAAATCAAGAACAACGTTACACGAAACAGGTTTGTCGTATGAACGAAAAATCATTTTAAAAAGATTTCCACACCTTTCAGCAATAGCTCTTACAGAGTTGTTTGAGTCTAATATTTTACATAATTTATTATTTATAGTGGTATAGTAACCTTTGTCAACAGCCTTGCTTACCGAAAATAAATTTACCTTTAAATCTGGTACATATAAAACATCCGACATAGTAGTTTTTATCCACACTTTACCGTTATAAGCTTCTAAAGTAACACAACCGATTCCTTTAACAGGTAACATAGTCCCGTTGCCAATTTTGACTTTCTTCAGATCTCCAATAGTCATATCTGTAAAAACATCCTTACTTCTGCACATGTGTTCCGAAGCTCCAGAATCCATAAACCATTCAACTAAATTTTCATCTGTTGTTCCTACAAATGCGTTGGCATTTTGACCACTTACGTTATTCGCATGGGCATTATTAAATCTGTTATTTTCCTTCTTGAGCTTAAATCTGCATTCTTTTGCATAGTGGCCGAACTTTCCACAGAAATGACATTTGACATGTGATTTGCAGAACCGTGTTTCATGACCAAATTTACTACATTTTTGGCAAGCTTTACTAGTAGGATGTACCTTTGACGAATGAGATCTAATTGCTAAGGCTTGAGTCGGTTCATTTACATTTAATCTCCTTTCTTCTATTAGCAGCCTCGACGTTAGTTCACTGAGCGTTTGGTTTTCTTGGGATACTGATTCCCATGCAGAAACAAAATGTTGGTATGTCGTTGGTAGTGACGTTATAATTTTTGTTATCATCATGCTTTCGGAAATACTTTCTTGGGTTTCTTCAAGATTATTTCGGATTTCTTCTAATTTAGAAATAAACATACTAATGCCCTCATCTTCGTACTTTATAGTGAAAAACTGTTGCTGCAGTAGATGTTT